GGTTTAACTCCAATTCTTAGTCTCTTCATACTGTTGAGAGTAATGAGACATTACATGATGCTGTTCATGTTCAGTCACTTAAACAATGGGCAGTTGAAGGAAGATGCTGGTGATGGAAACAATGCTTGATGTTTTTTATTTTCCAAATTATGTGGTGGAAAAAAACTAAATCCTGAAATTGTGAAAGGTTAAGTCTCCTTGATTTTAATAGGTTGTTATAATGTTTATTAAAGTGATCAAGTTCAAATTTTTGCCTTTCCAAATGTTAAAAATGGTTGTTTCTGGCAGTTATATCCAAAATGGAAATAAGGACCACTTTTCATGCTGTTTTAGTTTATGCTTTTCCCAGGGTGACAAATCTTACATCTTTGACTATTTTACTGTAGCCTTGTGTGTTTTCTTAGGGGAGAAAGTTCTCAATGCAGTAAAGGTTGTTAGATTGGGTTTTTTCCAGAAACATTCTTCTGTCATATATTTTCTAGCATTTGTAATCACTCAGCTATCTGAGTATCACTTTGAAAAGCAATCTGCTGTGTTTGGTGTTACAGATGATAGTTCCACTATGCTGTAGTAGTTCACTTAGTAACAGAAGTCTTTTTAAGAGGACATTTTACAAACAGAACATGCTGAAGTAAAAGGACAGGCATTTTGCTGAGAAATCCTATCTGTCACTGATTGGTGCAGATTTTATGTTTATTTTGGTACTCATCAGAGGTCATAGTAAAATCAAGGCCCTGAAAAGCTGACAATGTCTGTGTAGTAAGTGCTAGGCACTATGAAATTACTGAAGATTGATTTGCAGAAATTGGTTTGTTTGCCATTGATATTGGTGAAGCAATCAAAGATGTGAAGAGTTTCTTGCACTCATTCTGTTGTTCCTATATAGCACCTGATTTCTTTTTATGTGAAAACACAACACTTGCCAAATTTGATGGTGGTTCCTGAATTTTCCAGTTGAGATACTGAAACATGAATGTTGATTTTGTCCAAATCTTGCAGGTGTACTCTTGTGCTTGAACTGGAAACTGGGTGCAAAAAAATGGTAGTACAAAGCCACCTATAATACTGGTTTTAATCTTTGCTGCCTCTTCCAGTCTTGAGATCCTTCCATTGCCATTTCCAATCCTGTTTGCCTTCCCTGGGCATGCAGGCACAGAGTGGCCTCCCAGCAGGCTGCGTGTTCCAAATCTCTCTCTCTCCTGGCCTCCTGCCTGGCACTCTGTCAGGCCGTCTCCCTGTCCCACCTGGCAGATGCAGTGCCAGGCCAGAGTTCCTGACTGAAAGAAGGAAGTTACAAGGCACAGGGTGGGGTGCAGGAATCTGTAGAGCAGATTTGAGCGCTGCAGTTTATGTCTATGTGCATGTATGTTCACAGACAAGGTGATGAAAATCTGCTTGTGATTAGAGGGTGGAGGTACTGTTTTGTAGTGTGGTGCATATAGACTGCTGCTTGCTGGCTGCCAGCAGGACTTCCTCATTTTTTAATAGTTACTATTACTGCTATTTGAGGCTAGAGAAGATCAATTGATACAATTTTAAAGGCAAGCACCAGACAGATTCATTGCAACTGTGTCATGATCCAAGAGCTGGCTTTGGTTTAAGTCATCTCTACACCAGCATGTTTCAGGACCGACTGCTCCAGGACTTGTTGAAATACTGTAGTGCTGCCCAAGTTGCTGAGTTTGGCCACTATTTTAGTTTCTTAATGAAAAGACAATTGCTACTATTTGTTTCCAAGTGGGAACCTGGCAGAGTAGCTGTTTGATGGTGGTGATAGTGTTCTTTTAAATGTACATCTACCAAATTTTTAAAATGGGAAATGGAGTGAAAAAGCTTTTAAGCTTTTTGTATAATTGTACAACTATTTTAATAACTTTTGATAATTTTTTTGCTTATTATGATTTAGCTGATTGTTGGAAGCATATGTACAAGTCTGAGTTTTCTAGCCAAGCAAGATAGCACTCCATTATGTTTAACTTTTATAGTAAGAAATGTATCATTTGTTTGTCAAATATAATTAGGGATAGTGTAAGGAAGTCAGTCTCAAAACAGAAATTAGCCTTTTTAGACTTTCTGAAAAAGGATAAGCATCACAAAATTCTACAAACACATGTTTAGTCAGCAACTGCAGTGACATGTAATATGTCAGTAACCAAGGGACATCTGATTTTATTTTTCACCTCCTAAGGGGATACTTGCTCAAGTTTTAGGAGAGTACAAACCATGCAGTTAAAAGCAAAAGTGCAGCTTTCCTAACCCTGAGAGCCAAAGCACCATTATTTGTGTTTTGCTAATTACTTAGCACTGGCTGCTTATGTAACACTTTGCTATGACACTTTATTGGAGATGCAAGGCATGATTTAAACAAAGACTTGTGTGAATGACTGACATCCAGAGTTGGGTGAATGTCTGCAGATCGTGTGCTAAAACTCAGCTTCCTGGTATCCACATCTTAATTTTGAATCAAGTTTTTAAAGTGTGGTTTTCTCATATTTTCATGTAGCTGATATTTACAGTGGGGTTACTGGTCTGTCTTCATGGGTTATTTTTTCCTGTGACTGAAACCAGTAACTTAAAACCCTATTGTTCCAAAGACCAAGCCTGCAAACTGCATGATTTTTACCACACCTACAGCAAAATAAGAAGATAAAACAAATGTTAGTGTGTCTATATTAAGATGCCTCAATGTTTTTTTGTGCTAAATAACAGTGGAAGAAAACTCCTCTTATGAATATGCACAGTGAGGACTGGTCCTTTATAGGCTAATCTGGTAAGTGTAGAGCTCTGGATAGACTGGCTCCTTTCATCAGGAGGGCCCCTACAGAGAGCTGAGTTACTTGTGTGATTTGCTAAGCTAAGATGAAAAGTAAATAAACGACTCTGCTTTTTATGTAATAATGCCTACTAAAGCAAAAGTTTAGTTCCATCATTAGTAAAAGCTGCTGACACTATTTCTACACAAAAATTGAAGCTGCTACTACTAATAAAATGGACCTTAGTGACCTAACATTCTTAATTTACTTTTGTTTTAAGAAGTAAAGCTGGGTTTAAAAGTGAAGGAAAATTAATGGTTTCTGTTTTAACTGTCTTAAGTGAACCTGTTCTGGGAATGTAAACAAGATACAAGAGGGGAGAATCTGCTGCTGAACTGCAGTTTTTCATCTTCTGCACAATGTGCAAACAAATTGTAAAGTCCATGGCTTTCCTTTCACATTGCAGATTTCAGTTGCAGTTGCGCATTGCAGATTTTCAGTTGCATGCTTTTATAAAATGCAAACCCTTATCTTTCTTCATGACACGAAGTTTTTAAATACCTGTTCAGAGCAACAATTTTAGTTAATAATTAAACCCTGTCCTGTTTTGTCCAGCAGCCATCAGATTGCTGATTCTTGATTATCGCACCCCTTTAAGCAGGATATTTTTGTTTCTTTCTTTTTTTCTTTCTTTTTTTTTTTTTAATAATCTCTCTGATCCTCAATACTGACTCAGTAGTTAATTCCTCCTTTACAATTCTGTGAAAATCCTTATCTGCAGCTTACTGGGGTTCCCTTTTGGATTTGTCCCCTGTTCAAGCTTTGTTGCGATGTCCATCCCTGTGGGGACTTCCTTGGCCAGACACTGCTATAATGTGAAGCGATGCCAGCCATGCTGTGCCTGGCATGCAAAGACTGAGTCTTGCTGTGTGCAAATACTGCTCAACCTACTTGTCTGTTTCAGTGAGCCACAAAAGGTTCCTGCGTATGTTGTAATTTGGCAGAAATAATGCGTAAAAAGAGCTGGGTATTTCACTTCCCATGTGCATTGGAGCCTCTCACATGTATGCTGGGATCTTGTACAAGAGTTAAGTGAATCCCTACAGTATCTTGGCTGAAGTGTAAAATAATGTGAATGAAGCAATTGCCAAAATCATTCCTGGTAGCATACAGCATATTGCTTGCCTTTACATTACAAGAATTACTCTTAGCAGTGAGCTTCAACTGAAAAGCAAAGTGTGTCAAAGTACCTGTGAAGAAATCTTGCAGGTAACACAAGGCAGCTCACTAAAATTCTGAAGATTATATATGATTTTGTTCTGGAATGGTAATGTCAGTAGCTTAGCCACGGCTTGTCCCAAGTGCAATATTAAGAAATTTTTAATGTAATCTTTTCTACTTGAATACAGTCTATATAAAATGTTAAATATCCTATATTGCTGAAAAGATATGGGATCAAATTTCTTTCCAATAAATCTTCAGTTTAAAAAAAATATGCATACAGGTCTGCTTTGTTTTCATCATACTGTGAAGAATAGTTGAAATAGCAACCACTATCATCTACAAGCTGATTTTTAAAAGAATTCTTGCAGTCTGTTTGCTGGGACTTGGCTTGAGGTTAATTGTGGTTGCTGCAGTTGAGTCTAGCTCTTCATAAATGCTAGCATTAACATATGAAGAAATCCAGTTCTATTTTAAGTTGCAGTCTTCTGAACTAAGAAATTCTGTGCAGCTTCTCCCCCCTCTTTCACCAGCTGTCCAAAGGGAAGATTCTTGGTTTTCTCTGGTTTAGAGCATTCTCACCTGTCTGTACTCTCCCAAGGCAAAGATGGACACAGACCTAACAGGTTTTGCACACTAATGTTCTCTATTGATAAGAGAACTCCTAAGTTTCTGCAAAGATGAAAGGCCAAATTTAACATATAATGCACTTACAACAATGTATGCAGTAGGCTGGGTTAATGCACTACAGCAAGTGATGCCACACAGATACCTGGTACTCTTATCCTAGTCAACAGTCCAAGACTGGTGTGGATGTCAATGACCTGAATGAAAAGTTTAGAAGTTTCTGGCAGTGTCTGCAGGGTAGAAGCTTATACCAGCAGGTGCAGTTTGGAGCCTTGGGTAAAAGCAGGTCCATGGTCCTGCAGTGTTGTCCTCTGAAGCAATATACAGTCTAACTACAGTTAGACAAGTCTTAAATAGTCACAGCAGTAACTTTATGCTGGTACGCAATTAAAGATGGAATAAAAATGTAAATGCCTCATTTTTATTTAAGTAGTCCTTTGACATGCATTATTGTCAAAACTGGAACTATCTACAGAGAAAAGTTTAAGCATTTCCAATTCCAGAGGATGCATAGTGCCTGTAACAATTAAGGAATGTAGTGGATCACCCAATTCCACAGTGGACATCTGCTGTAGTGTGCCTGAAGCAATCTTCTCATCTAGAGCACCTACACGAGCAAGGCCAACACAAACTGTGTTTTCAGTAATTTCTGTAAGAAAGAAGATTAAATGCTTATTGACTAATGGTCCTATCATAAAGGAAAAAGTACTCAAAATGCTTAAACCTTAACACTGCTTTCTTAAACCTCCAATTACTAAATTATTGGAGTGGCCTAGAAAGAAACTTCCTCTTCAAAGAAAATAAAGCTTAAGGATGTTGATAAGGAAGAAAGAATTCATTCAGGAATTGTGTTCACTTTGAAGAAACTGCTGCTTCTAATTCATTCTATGTAAAGGATAAAATTAAGTGACTTTAATTTTAACAGTATTGAAGGAATAAACTTTTTAAAAGAGGAGTAAAGCTAGATGAATTTGTTAAAAAAAAATTCTGTGACACAACTGCATCATCTTTATTAGTTCCTGTGATTTTACCCTTGGTCTCAATAAATATTTCAGTTTGCTATTGACTAGTGTTAAGAATTCAAGGTGGAAATCAGTTCTGCATCTTTGGGTTAACCTCTGCTCGTGTTCACATAGAGCAGAGTGTGACCAGTCTAAGTAAAACCAGAGCTGAGATTTTTTTTGAAGCTTGACTGATCTAAAATGCTCAGAATCCTTCTGCCTCCTGCAACTTTAATGGCTCAAAGAGCTCACAGTTCCACATGGATAGAAACAGTGCAGGGTTTCCTGACTGAGGCTTTGACTGGAGCCACCAATGCACCTTCATTGAAGCTCACTGAACTGTGCTGTGCTCAAGCTTGGCCAAATCCACCTCGTGACTAGGTTTAAGGCAGCCCAAATCCTCTGCAGAGCAGAATTCTGGGAGTCAGAGGAAGGGAATGGAGTTCAGAGGCTCATCAGGAGGTGTGACTGGAGAGGGGTGGTAGCAGACAGAAGCAGTGCAGTCATACCTGGTTTTAGTCCTTGGAGCCTTCTGTTTTGAATAATGGCAAGAAGCTGTTCTGCAGCTTGATTGACGCTCATGTAGCGCGGTGGCTCATAAATCTTTCTTCCTCTGCAGGGAAGGAAAACAGAGAAATTTCACATATAACCCATTTTCTTATCCCCAGAAATCTTACAGCTTATTTCAAGAGATCTCTAGACCAGCAGGTTGAACTTAAACAGGCCCAGGCTCTCAGGTTGGGTCTTTTAGACAAGAGTAGAATTTTTAAAGAATACAGAAATCTCACCACACCTGTGAAACAGCTGGGCTCCAGCTGCCATATCATTTAGAGCCTAAAAGCAAATTCAGCTGCTAGAAGCAAGTTGCAGGTTTTGCAGTTACTCTTGAAGGCTGTATTAGACTTAAATCCAAAGGCATACAACTGTTTTTCTGTTAAATGCCCTGTAGACAGATGATTATAGACTAGAAATATATTCTTAAATGAAATGCTGCTTTCTTTGCCAACTGTGGATTCAGTCAAACAGATTTTATTTTGAAACTCCAGAATAAACAAACCTCAATGATACTGTGAGACTTCACAAATGTTAATTTAGACCAGTTACAGCATGTGTATAAAGGAACCATTTATATTCACCACTGTCAAACCATACAGATTGCAGAGATGAGTAAGATGTGGCAAAAGCTTTTTGAATACAGTTAAACAAGCGTAAGAGCATTTTCTGTATATTGCTTATTTAACTCTTTAAAAAGGGTGTTATGTATTCTGCACTTTGCACTGTTCCAGCCAGTGTACAGAAGAATAAATTTAGAACACTTTTTCAGATATTAATGTTTCAGGAGGTGACAGAACAGTAGAGAAATAACACTTTAATTCACCTACCCCTTTCTGACTTAGTGCTTCTCACAGGAACAGTTACAGAAAAGATCATGTTCTGCTGCAACTCAATTCAGTTACTGTAAATAAAGCCAGGCCCTATTGCAAGGAACAAGAGTTTTACCCCTTGTAAGAAACAAAAGACAGTGGCCATTGAGAAGCACTAGAGGAAGACAGGTAAGTTCAGTATTAGACTATGGGCAAAGAACCTTTGTTCCTTGTACAAAAAAACCTTTATAGGGGCACTGTGTATTTCTATGTATTTTCAAAATGGTGACTCACTTCATGAGATTCTCCAGAGACTGCTCCTTCACTTTAATATCTGTAGAACAAAACACATTAAAACACAGGTTCCCTACAAGCTTCCCACTTAGTTTTCTATGTAGTTAAAGCTTTAACAACATTTTAGCTATTATAATATTATTATATTTAGCTATTAGAATATGGATCGCACTGTACTGTTTCATCTGTTAGTTAATCACAAAATCCTGTGACTTTATGCACATGGTTTTACCCAACAATAGGACTAATTTCACAGATTTCAGAGCAACACAGCCAAATAAAAGTCCTGGTAAATATACAAATAGGCATATTTACCGTAAGATAGTTAAATACTAGCACATTTAAGCACACCAGTTCATTGGGTCAATTCTTAAATTATGAGCATATTATGTCACAGAAGGTAAAACAGTCTGACTGCTCGACAGTGATTACATCACTGCTATGCAGGAACCTGACTTTCGTTAGCACTTCCTTACTGTCCCAATCAAAATTTAGAACAAGCTTCTGTTATGGGAAAAAAAAGGATTTGAGCAAAACTGAAATAGAGAAGAGGTCAGGTAGGTAAGACTCTGAACAGCTGCAATTTTATGAAACAAGTTGACCATAATCTTTCTAAGAGGAATGCAAATGTTACCTGTACTCAAATGCCCCCCCCAAATTATTATACTGAAAGCTGGATACATTTTTAACTGTGAATAAGCATTCCTTAGTTGCATAATCAACTCCTAAACCAAAGTGACTCAGATGAAAAAGGTTAAAATGCAAAACTCCAAGATTGTAAATGCCCAGTTTACCAAATTGCTTCTACATCCATGAAGTCACTTTCAGTTCAAAAGTTTATCAGCACTAAACTTTTTAATATTACATTTGCTTATCTGGTGATCGAGTCAGCTGCGTAAACACTCAATACATAGACTAAAAGGCAGGAGAGTGGCTGCTGCTCACCGAGTAAGCACAGAGTGTGCATTCCATTCTGACTGTTCTTCTCAATCTTGTCAAAGAAGCTCTCTGGCTTCCATGTATCTGTCCAGAACACTATGGAAACCATTTCTCCGAAATTGTACAACTGTAAAACAGAGCAAATGCAGTAACACACATGTGCAATAAGAAAAAATAAGAACATGCAAAAATGTTAAAGACCAAGCCATGAACTACCTGTAAAGTTTTTACTGCATTCACCTTTCCAATGCATAATTAGTAACTTTTAATATACTTTCTATTGTTACTTAATTCTGAAGTCCTTTTAAAGGTAAAAACTTTGTAAGATTAACACCAAAATTATTATTTGTTATTTCTTACTTTGGTTAAGTGGTTTTTATTTCTTACTTTGCTTAAGGTTAGACAGTTTTGAAGAATGCCATAATTTGATGTTTTGGTTCTACTGATACAGTAGTGTTTATATTAAAATGGCATTTTGCTGCAGATGGAAGCTCTAGCAGACAAAAGAAGTTACAGTCAGGAGTAGGAGACAGTGGATACGAAGATCTGAAGACAGATTGTGCAGGAAGCAGAGAGGTACAACATGATTTATGCACATATGGTAGGAATATTGCTAGCAGAACACTCCTAGCAGATTCTATGTCAAGCATACTCACTGTCTCTGTTCTCAGTCTTAAGACATTCATTACCCTAAGTCCCTCATCTTGGTGAAGCCATTTGAAGCAATAGTCTTGCCAATCATCTCTGGTGATGCAAAAGTGAAAGTTGTAAGAAAAGTTAAGGCAGTATTTGGCTTGGAAGCAGTTTCTGCCATGAAATAGGGGAAAACCATGCATCAGTTTTGGTCTGTTTAGCTCTGGAATGGGGCCACCCCAGATGGATTTTACAGCTTGCCAATATTCTGTCTGCTCAAGCCCACCAGAGAAACAACAGCTACATGGACTACCCTTCCCACTTTCTCTGTACTCCTGGAAGGAAAAACTGCTTTTCCAAGCCCAGAGCAGGAGACAAAGGCACTGTGTGTGCTTTGGCAGAGGACCCTGCATAGAAGCAGCTCTGGCAGCCCTGTGCCATGTGGGGATTCCCCTATACATACTTCTCTTACTGTGGCATTAGGCTGTGGCTTTAACTCCTTTATGCTGGTACAGCAGAACTTGAATCACAGCAGAAACATGTTTATTTTTAAAAGCTCAAATTTTAACCATTCATGATGATAAAATTTATTCAAAGATTCCTGGAATAAAACTGAAAACATTTCCTCTTTTTAAGTATTTCATTCTAGCACAAGGACAAGAACATACCGTGTACATTTCACAACCTAAAGGTTCTTCCAGTAAAGTAAATACAGGTTGAACCAAATAAGTTGCTCCTGATGCAACTTGTTAGCTATTTCAAGGCTGTGTTCTAGAAAATGAAAAAAAACAAACCCAAAAAACTATGCTTTGCCTATTTTTCATGTGGCTGCCTAGAACTCATTCCCATTTTGTACCAAATCTGAAAAACTAGTAGTACAAGAAGTTTCTCTCCTTCACTGTTACAGCATCTGGGAGCAAGATACCTTTAATTTCCCTGGTAGCATTCCTGCAATCTTCCACTAGTGCTGCAATGTCTGATACCAACCTAAGTGCTTGCCTTCAGCACCTGCAACCACTGCAGCCACCTCCCTAAAGCTGCAGTCCTTGTTCAGGACAGAAAGTGCCCTCAATTAACCTTAAATCTTACCTTGTCCCTTTGGCATTTTGATAACCCAAGGAAGAAAAACTTCCACCTCTGCCCTTTAGGAACGGAAAGGATGTGCAGAAATGGGAAAAATGTTATTATCTGAGAGGTATTTTGTTGGGAATCAGAACTCCTAAACTACTCTGCCTCATTCTGTTAAGAATGAGTTGGACATTCAACTTTATAGCCTAGAGTGCTTGTTCCAAGTGTTGTCTTTTCCATTACCCATTACAAAGATTCTCCATCTTCTTTGCCAACAAGAAGTTAAACAAGTTGTCCAGTCATTCACTAATCTGTCCTTTGTTTACTGGGTTTTGCATTAATACTGAAACCTGGATGTCAAAAAAGAGTAAAACATTTTTGTTGCCTGTCTCTTTAGTAGAAACACCTTCAGAACACCTTCATGAAGTACTGACATCGTAGAAAACTGTACTTAGTCTCAAAAAAATACACCTGTTTTCTCAGCACCTGGAAAGTACAGAAGTAGTTTCTACACTAATAAGGTAAAGTGGGACATATTTTATTAACCTCCTAGAAATGCTTTTGCAGTTTACACCCCTCTACTAACTAAACTTGTGAAGAACAGATTTCCTAGGATTAATGCACACCTGTTTTTACTTTAAATTATAGAGGGGGGAATACTACTTTTGAAAGTCCCTGGTACACCATCAATCTGAATGCTGAGGAACTGAAGCAGTAAGTGGATACCTCTATTTTGCTTGAATACTCATAACCAATTACCTTACAAACACTTCTACAGACACAAACCAATATTTCTTTCTCATCCAGTATTTGATCTCTGCAGGTGTGTGACATTTAAGCAAACAAAGGAACTGCTCTTCACCAGGGCAAACCTACATTAAAGAAGGAACTCATGACTGTATCAGAACTTACACTTAAAAAACGCTCTCCCTGTATCCATGCAGGATTCAATTTGTTCCTAATTTAGTTTCCTCTGCTGTGTTCTAATTTCCACCTCTTGAACTTGTGCATGAAGTATCTGACTTTCAAGAAAAGCCCTGTGGCAGTGAGAGCAGTAAATGCCAAAAATTGCACTGCTATCCTAAGGATACAGAAGACAGCAGGTCCTCTAAAGACAAAACCCACTGAAATGAAAAAGCATTTTTTCCACCAACCATAGAAGGCTGCAGAGGGTCCCCAAAATTCCAGGAATCATTCTTTTCACTGAAATAGAACGGTCTGACATGTTTGTTAACCAAGGAGTGTTACAACACAACTAAGGATTACTGCCATGCTTTGAGACTGTTCACGAGTTCAGTAAGATGATGAGCTGTGCATATTTGCAGAGACAGGATCAGGCTGTACAGTGGCTGGCACAGCTCTAAAGAGAGGCAAGAGCAAATGAAATTTCACAGCCAACTTGTGTGTGCTGCACTCTACATGAAGCATGTTTAGGAGCAGGCAATGTGTGTTCTGTACAAGCCCAAACATCTCAGGCATCACACTTGCACTGATGAGCAGATCTGTTAGAGTGCCTACATTCAGCTCAGGCACAAAAGTGCCAGAATTTCAAAGGGGCACAGTGAAATGGTTGGACAAATATTTTGTCTTTTCAGCTTGAAACCAAACTTCTTTCCTTCTCCTCAATGCTCAAAAACTTCACAGAAGTTTCAAAAGGTCATTTTGAAAGACCTCAGTCTTTGGAAATACCCCTTTCTCTGCACCCTCCCCCCAAGTAGTAACTGGCTTAAGTAAAACTTTGTGCACTCAAATTTTGCAATGCAATAGCTCAGGTCAGCAAAGGAAGCCAGAACTCTCTACTCTGAGGCAATGCCCTGCTGCTATTTTGCTCACAAAGTTGAGTTCTTCAACTCATAGTTACATCACCTCAGAACAAGATGTAACTTCCTATTTTATTGACATGAAAGAATGATTAACAACTTTTGGTACTTGTTTTCTGATAGTATTTTAACCCTTCTATTAATGCCATTTCTTATTTACTTCTTGTTTATACAAGCAGAATTGATTGCAAATTGAGAGGCCAGAATGAACTGTGAAAGTGCTGTACCATGATCTCGCCTTGGAAAGTCTTCATGCGAGTGGAATTTCAATGAAACTGCTGAGTTACTTTGTTAAAGACCAGTCTGAATGATATCAGATACCTGAAACTGTCCTGATCAATTGTCCTTACTTGAAATAGTGGTGTGGTCAATCACCACAAAAATTTAGAGCATAAAAGACGGAACAAACTGAGACTAAATTGGGAAATTAAAAAAGGAAGATCCATCATCCTCTCTAAAAAGTACTAAAGCAAGCAGGAGAGAAGATGCAAAATAATATTAAAGGTCAGTTGGCCAACAGCTGCAGAGAAACCAAGAAGTAAACATTTCAAAACACAGACATCTATTTTTACAGCATCTTTCCCAGAATTATTGCTGTATCAGCTTCAATGGTGACACAGCAATTTTTCACTTATGAACCTCCCTCCTTTCCTAACATTTCAAATAGCTTCAGAACTGGTCACATATCTGGGGTTCTTCCCAAAAAAAAAATAAGTTACTGCATTCTTCAGACCTGCCACCCTACATAGCCAAATACCTGAGAGCCTGTAGGGCTGAAATGCTATGGAGCTATGTTCCGGTCACAGATTACATTGCAGATAGTTCTCACAGCACAGGTAAATTATGGAAATTCAGATTCTTCTCAGCCTAATCACAACCCACTGGTAGGAACTAAGAGGCTTTTTCTCCTAAGACTATTCCTCAATGGATTTAGAGACTGCAGAGCACCTTGCATTATCCAGGTTACTTCCTGATAGATCTCAATGAGCACACCCAGAAAAGCTAAGACAGATTGTCTTTGTCATAGGGTTTCTGATGTAATGCTATGCAATGTTCATCCTCAAAGATAAGGAACCTGAGTTAGGTTTTTCCCTTTATTCTGCCTAACCTGTTAACAGCCCTCCAGACCATATACATCAAATTAAAGGGCTCCTACTGTTTTTTGTACTATCTATTGTTGCTTGATAGCAGCTTAAGAAGTAGAACGATTGTCAACAAAGAAGCAGCAAGAATCACTCAATCTTTTTTTTTTGCTTGGAATTGATCATATGAAACAACCACAAGCCTAGCTCTAGCCCTTTACACTACCTTATTTAGCACCACAGACCTATAGCAACTTCAGATGCCTCTCATGAGAACCTTCACATGAAACTGAAATGTTTTACCATTCACATATATGTGTATTTGTCTTCTTTTTGTACTGCAAGCCAAGAGATTGCCCCAGCTGTCCCAAAAACTTCCAGTCCCCTTAGTAACCCCGGAGAGAAAGAAGCTGTGAAGAAAACATATTTGGCTGAGAGAAACCCACTCCACATAATTGCAGTCTTTAGAAGGCAGCTGAGACAAATCACATAAAATCAGTTGGAGGGACAAGCACATTTTGCTTTGGCTGCTTCTTGGATATGCTTAGGAAATAGCCACTCCACAAGCAGAACAAAATTCAGCTATCAAAATACTGAGAAAATAAACTTGAATAGGAGAGGATTCGCCCCCCCAAGGTAATGTCACCTTATCTTTAAAAACCTTCTAAGATTCTTTCCATCAATATCAAGCAATATTTCCTTCCTGCCCTGAAGGTGACTTAGGTTACTAATATGAAATGAAAATATCTAAAAGAAAAGAAACCCCCAAACCTGATGAAACAGATGTTTCTGGGCCATGTTTGCTGGTGACAAATGGCACTAAACTGGACAGCAATTGTGAGTAATGAAGTAGTGTCACTAGCACTGATCTAACATTTAATTGGCTTGAGACACAAATGCCAACTTCTTAAAGGCTCAGAAGCTGGTAGTAACTGAAAAAAACAATCAGAGATGGAAAACAGTTTAACAGTCAGTCATTTTGTGTAAAGTCTCTCCTGTTAGAGCAAAGAATGTTTTTAAAGATGAAGGCACACCACGGGTGGGACTCAGAGGCTCCACTCTTGTACAGGGTTTCTATTTGACTGTGAGCACAGTAATTAATGATAGCATTCTTCAGCTTCTTTAAGTAGTATTTTTTTAACTTGACACTGGAAATGTACTCACCTGTTCAGTGAAAACTCAAAAATAAAACAGTAAGCATTGATTTTGCATTTAAGTGATCAGCTGCTAGCAAAAAGGCTATTTTCTAACTGTAATTGTCTTACAAGAATTAAGTGGACTGCAAACAAAAAACCCGAGATGCGTCACTGAAAGAAACAAGGGCACATGCAGATGTTTGTTCTGAAGCTATTCAGGTGGAAAGTGGGTACATCTCAAAAGAAAGGCAGCTCTCTGCTAGAACATGTTTTTTTCCTAGCTACCCAACCAAAGGCTTTCAAAACAAGCAACATCAGAAACACTCAGAAAGGAGCGTCTCATTTTAGCCTTTTATCTCATCCTGTGACTTGCCTCCAGCTTTGCACTTCAGTTCTCAATCCTCTTTCTTTATGTTAATGTCACAATCTCAAGCCATTTCAAGCTGCATCATTCCTCCACATGCACCACAGGTCAGCATGATGCAGAATCTTCCAGATGTGTTTGACCACCAATAGTTCTACCTCAAGGATACATTACCAGCACTGGGTCAGAGAATTCTGTCCTGAGAGTACCACTCTGCCCAGCGACCTCCCCAGACCAACCCAGATGTCATGCAGATTAGAAAGGAAGGAGAAATACGCAAACTAGAGATCCTCAGTTTCCTGCATCTTTATTCTAGGCCTCAAAAACCTTAGCAATCAGCCCTATTCTGAAAAGCTGAGAGTGGGCACAGGTAAAGCCTGTTTTTCCTTGGCAGTGTGTGCAGATACCAAAGTGCCTGACTGTCCTCCACCACCAGTGCCTGGTTGTTCTCCACTACAACAGAAGTCAGAGTGACAAACACACCCACGTAGCAGACTCCAGACAAGGGGGTGAACCTGCAAAGAACATGCTAGGAGGCACTGACATAGGAGCACTTTTCTTGGTTTCTTTCCCATAACCAGATTTATTTGTTTTTTAAGGGAAAATAGCTTCTTCAGCCTCAGAAAGAAAAAATCTGGTACAGTGAAGCACAGCAAAAATATAAAAGAGGGAGGCACAGCAAATCACAGAGCCTTATGCACAGTCAGACTACCAGTTTGCTGAGTTACACTATCCCAGCACAGTTTATCAATCTGTCAGAACTTCCAAGAAGTTTAATTTTCAAAATTAAAACCCCACTCTTTTCTTCAGTATTCCAAAACAGCTTCACTAATTCTGTTACATGAGCAAGACAGTTAAAAAAAAAAAAAAGTATTTGAAAATAGATATGCACCCCTCTTTATTATTTGGCAAAAACTACAGCTATTGAAAGGTAACAAACCATCACTGATGCTCTTCACTAAATCATTGTACAGGCAAACTGCACAGTACCAGAATGTTGTTGGCTGCACAGAAACATTGCTCTGATGACCAGAGACATTCTTTTGTGACCAGACTGTGCTGTAGCTGCATTTCACTGATGGCCTAATCAGCAGTTACAGCTCACTACGCACATGGCTCTCTGAACGGCGCATAAAGGTGTTTCCTGTTTTTCTCTACTAAAAAGGAGAGAGGGTTTGTATTACAATCAGATTAGAACAAGAAAAAAAGCAAAGCCTTTTCTGTGGTGAAGCAAAAGAGGAATCCCTCCTATACTTGACAGGAACTTTACAATTTGAGACACAATAACTCCAAAAGTAAACCAGTGGAAGTAGAAAGCCATGAACTTAAAGGCTTTTGAATGAAATTATAAACTTCCAACACAACTCTAGTTAATCAAAGGCTGTTTTTTTGTGAGATACACCTCACTTGCTGTTTATGCCAGTAAGAAGCAATCAAGAGTTAAACATACAACTGATTACATTCTGCCTGGCAATACAATCATTATTTCCTAAAATGCCTTATACGACAACAGGAATGTTGACTTAGGAGAAGGCAGCCCCTCTCAAGCCAGAATGGAAAAGGGGACTAATGCCAGAGTGAATAACATCCCATTTCCTTTATGGTCTGCTCCCTTCAGCATGGGATAAGGAAATAGCAATCTAATCTCAAAAACTCTGCATATGTGAATAACCTTAGGGACTGTTTATAGTATACTCACATTAGGTTTCTGGTCTATTTTTTTAAATTAACCTAAAAGCTCTATACTCTTCCTTCCCATGCCTGGCTGAATTGTGGGGGAAGAAAACTTCAGAAAACTTAAAAAACTCTTTGGGCCTTGCATCTTCCTTCCTAATGAATGTAAGAGAACAGTAAAAAAGAGAGCAAGTAGTAGAAGCTGCTTGTCAACAGCCTGACAACAGAAGCAAACTGCACCACCATCAAGACAAAAGGGGAAGGGTGAGCCCCAGCCACAACTCTTGTTATACCCACCCCAGTAAGTGCAGTCATGTGGCAGCTGCTCTCTGTCTGTAGATTTTAGACACCAAGAAGCTTATTTCCTTCCTAAATGATAATTTTGCCCAAGTCTTGCAGCAATAGGCAGGTATCACTAAGAAAGTACAAGAAGAATTATTAAGAGTGTGAATGCTGCGCAGCATTCCCTTTAGCATTAGCTAATGGGACAGGTCAGACAGGGCAAATTAATCAAACTAATCAAAACCAAAGATAATACCCAAACTCACAGCAATAAATTTTCTGCTGCTGGCCAGCATAATTATTTGAATGGAGTACTGGAGTTGGTCAGTGGAAATTTGAAGGTACCAGGTGTTTGCTGAAATTAAAATAAATTGTGTTATTTTGTGTAGGAGGAATTCCTCCTTCCTGGTGATGGAAAGACACCAACTTGTCTGTAGTACATTTACATTCCTCTGCTTGCTTTGGGCTTTTGTAAAGTGGGAACTTGGCTTAGGGGTCCCATACACAGGGAACCATTCTAAACCTTGAGAGGGCAGGTTCTATGTTAAAGTGATGAATAAAAACAAGAGGGGGAAGCTTCATCTAATTTATATGTGATTAGTTATGATTTAAACACTGCCACAATATCTTTCATGCAGTAAAAGTAATAATGGAGCTATACGTGTGTAAAAGGAAATACTTTCTTGGGGATCACTAGACCTTTTCTACTTCACTCATTCAAGATGCACAAAAACTGTTATTTGTTTTATTAGTCCTTGGCTAGGCAAATCCCTCCTCCCTCATCAGATGGGCAGAAAGTGGAGACAGATCAAATTTATTAGAGAAAGAGTGCATCATATTCAAGACTTTGGAATTAGTTATGATCTAAATTGGACATATATGCAGGCTTGTGCATGTATTTCTTATATGACAAGATCAGCATAATTCTTTACAGGATAACAACCTTATTTAAAAATAAACTTATCAGGTATTACCTGATACCTGATGCTACCATCGGTGGTAGGAGGAAGCAAACATGAGCAAAGCTTTATCTGTAAAATAACTTTAAATACCAAAGGCTCCTGGGGGCAGAGGGAAGTTAGCAGAGCAGAGCAGAACAGAACTGCTACTATTAATTTTCATGTGAGCTCACTGAAAGGGGCTTTTGCTGACATGTGGCATGCTAAAAGGAAGTGTTAAAAATTTCTAACATTAAGTGTACAGTTGGTACAGATCTTCAAAACTGGGATTGCAACATGCACTGCCACAGCAGTAGAAGGAGCTCACCAATTCTAAGCTTAGCAGCTGTGAAATAATATATATGCATATAGAAAAATATTACCTGTAAACCACAGCAGCCCACTGCATTCATTATTGAAGCATTATGAATGACCTTGTAAGGAATCCCCAATTTTACTGCACGTAGCACTAAATCACTGTGTGTTGTGGCCCTGTGGTAAGAAAAGGAAGGAATTAAACATTGAAAACATGATGTTACCAAGTGTTACTAGCATTGCAGTTTGTTTTGAAATAAAATTAAACTCTTCAAAACAAGGACAATGCAGAGGTGGCAAAATGACAACAATATCCTATTGGTTACAGGAAAATAAAAACTCCAGTAAGGCTTCCATACGTCATCTGCCACAGATGAAATGCCAGGTATCCTCAGTATGGTACAGCTCTTTGCAACTTTCTGGCATCATTAAAACTGTAACACTTCTACAACTGTTACTTTATAAAGTAGCCTTGGCAAGTATTTGAAAAGGGAAGCTCCATGTATCCTTTGTCTTCTGCAGGTGTCTGTAGAACACCCATTGAACTGTAAATGTCAACTCTGGCACAAACTTCCACAAAACTCCAGGATTTCATTACTGACTGCACAGCCAGGCCCTCTCCCATCTGCACCAGTGTGTGCCAGGAATGCTCCATGCTCAGACAAGAACTCTGAACAGACAGAGGTGAACTGCACGTTTACTGAGAAAAAACATCCTTAGACTGAATCAATTTTCATATTTAATCCAGATTACTCAAATTAACAATGCCTAAATCTGAGTGATGAAGTTTATTCTGAAAGAGGTAAAATACTGTTGTTTCAAACAGAGCTAAGTTCAGCTCCAGGTCTAAGGCTCAAGAAACACCTTGCAGTGACTAACTGCTGCAAGAATTACTGGGTTTGCAGTTAAGCAGTTGAGATAGAGCCTTTCTAAAATGGTCAGTACATACAGATTGAGCAAATCTTTGAACTGCAACAATGTTTACATATGTATTTTGCTTGTATGTATGTGAAATATGAAAATGCACCTACCCCTTGCCTAAATTTATCAAACCTGATCAATGACCTTAGACATCTCATTCCCAAGATGTACCACACACTTTATGTAGCTATTCCAAAGAAGGAAGGAAAGAAATAACATGTGGCCATCAGAACAATGAACTAGGAAAATTGCTTTCACCCTGGCCTTGTTCAGTTACCCTAACAGAATTCCCCTGGTTTTAGCCTGATAATTTTGGTGCTGTGTCTGACCAGCACCCAGTCAGCAGATCAGGTGCTTCAGACTGGAACACAAATGTGGCAGCAACTGGCAAGGCTGTAAAGATCAATATTGAAAAAAAGAAATCAATTTCAGTGGAGGTTAAAAAAAAGGAATTTGAACTTGGGAAATCTGAAACCCTTATACAAACAGGCTCCCAGACCTAGGAGAAGCCAGTAAGTGATCTGAACCAATACCTTAGTTACTACACAAACATTGTTCCTGACTTCTAGAAGCAAAAGTGATGTAAGAATGTCTTCTCTAAGAGAAGAGGAGACTGGTTTTACAGCCTTGTGTTATTGCCTGCACATACCAAGGACAAGGAGCACTGGAGGATTTTGTGGTTATGCTAATAATGACCAAGGCATCAGCTGGCTTTATTCACTGAAATTTGCTCCAGCCAGCATTTTTTTTCTCCCAATAAATCTGCTTATAATGACTATAGCTAAAGGCAGAAGTGCCCTTATGAGCACTCAGTTCCAATACCAGGAAAAGTTTCATGAAGTCATCCCTCCACAGCCAAAACCACAGCAGTATTTTCTGTCACTGATACAGATGTTAAGTTTGATGGGTAGTAATAATATGAATGTTAACACCAGCCTAGAGTGGTGGGCTTTCCACTGTACTACTCAAGTTGTCAGACTCTTGTAGCACATCCATGGGTGTTATCACATACACAGATAAAAACTTGCAGAGAAAACAGTGAGGATGACAGGGCACAGCCTGCTTTATTGCTTTAACCACTAACCACCAACACCTGGCATCTCCTGTGGCTCCCAAGTACTCTGCTCTCCTGCAAATATACTTGGAACTCTGTGATCAGCTGCAAGGGGCTTCTATCCTCCTCCCCTCTGGCCTCTCTTAGGACAGAAACATTCAGTACTCTATCCTGGTAACCTCACAACTCCCTAAGTCCTTAGGGTTCTATGTGAGCATAGGAGTAGTTCTAGCTGTGACAGCAAGAGCTAAGAACATGAACATTTATAGAGAAGCAACTAATTTAAAAAAAAAAAAGGTAGTTTTTAACAATTATGTAGTATGTTAGCCATAACTGAAGTATTTGGACATTGAAACTAATGATAATGAGACAGGTCAGAGTACTGCTTACAAGTAGCAGCTACATTTCAATCCATGTCGTTTGTATTTTTCATCTTGAATGCTTGTATCAGTCATGGATCAGAGCACAAGGGTCCAGGTAATGTGGCTCTACACTCTGCACAAATCCTAGTTTTAATGTAAACATGGACTGCAAGTATTATTAATATTTCTGAAATACAGGGTCATCTGCCCATAATTAGTTTAATATAATATTCTCTTGCCAATTGCCTTCAACCTGTATTTACACAAATTATCTGCTTTTGACAGATGTGCACATTGCTCTTTTTTACATAAACTCCATTTTTTCTCTCACAAATAAGGTGCTCAGATTTCATTTTTCTTGTGCCCCTTGACACTGTGGTATAAATCCTGCACCACCAGCTGGAGATGAAAAGCTCTTCTGCATGGCTTGACATTACAGATTGATGATACCTGACCAAAGAGACAGAAGGACATCCCTCTGGTCATAGAAAAAGACTATACTTTCCAGCAGGAATAAAAAGTGGAAACAAAAGGCCTAATAAACCAACATGAGAAGACATTTATAATGACATAAGTGATTTTAAAAACTAGCATATATTAAAGTAGACAATACAAACAGTAATCTGTATTGATTCTAAAACAACTGAGTATAAAAGCTCAAGTTTATAAGTACAGTTAAAAGAATATTCCCCCAAAACAGCACATTTCTTATTTATGTCATAACCTAGAATTTCTTCTGTTATAAGACAAATAATGAGGCAAAGTATTTGTTATAAAAGGTAGCACAGAGAATAAAATGATAATGAATGAAATTATAAGTATCTGCTGAAGGAAAGATTCACACATCCTGGAGGGTCCACATTCCTATCTATAATGGACATCTGGGAAAGGAAACTCCAAAGCAAGATAAAGCATAGACAAATGCACATATATTTTTAATACAATAAGGAATATACAGACACAAAAAGTGTTTCTGGCCTGAAAATCAGTTTCCTCATACAGAATTAGCGTTACAGAGATGGCTTCTTCCTATTGAAAAAAGTGATGAAGCTACAGCAATTATTAAAATGTTGCTCTGTCTTACCCAAAAGGATCACCAACCACAAGAAATGCAACATCACAAACATCAGCTTCTTTTAAAAGGCTATCTGCTTCTTGTTCCACCATTTCTCGGTCAGCCAAAATCAATTCTTTTCCATAAAACTCTTCCTAGAAATTGAAATTAATAACAAACATCAATATGAGACACTTAAGAATGTTTTTGTATCTCTCTGAGTGCTCACTCAAGAGCACAGCCAATGGACACTGGAATAGGTAACTTCATTATTCTCCCCAGCAACCTGCCCCATGTCTTGGTGAACCTCACCTCTGCTTGCAGGAACACCTGAGCTTCCCATAAAGCAGCTCCTGAGCTGACAAAAATCAGTGAATGTGAACTTTATCCTGAAACCAACTTGATTTTCCATGCTTTCTGTGTCAGTTGAGGAGCTGCACCTAAAGCAGCTCAGTCATGCTGAGGGTACCTGGGGGGACTCCGTGCAGAGTTAATTTAACCTGCTGCTGTAAGGCATCCTCCCTCACAGCCCGAGCCTAGTGCTTAGGCTACTGACAATACTGGCACCAAACCACATACAAATACCACACTAGCTACACCACAACCTGTTCTCTCAGATTTTTCCTTAGTACATTTTAGCTAACCACATCTAAGGCATGACTTCATATTAATCCTTCATCTTGAACTCTCTTTAAGAAGTACTTTACAAAGTATACAGGTAAACATGTATTTGATCATGTCCTTAATTTTTCTTCAGCAGCTCAGTAATCATTGTGTCTCTTTGTACATTTTAAATGCCTATATTTCCAGCATGAACTTCACACTTGTATATAAAACTTCAGTTAGTTCTAGAACATATTTTCTGATCATACTGAAAATATCTGCCATGTTGTGTCACCATGCATTTTACATGTTCTTTACATGATTAAAATTTTTTTCCAGGGCAAAGACCAAGAGAGGTATTTTTGTTCTAAGTAGTAGTCAGCAAATTTGTGTGGTATTATGAATATTAATAGATTGATAAAACTATTAAAGTCAGTTATCACCCAGAAAGGTCTTCCTCTGACTTCTGTGACTTCGCTCACACAGAACAGTGAATTGATGAGGAACTATCACACCTGTACAGAAGCAGAGTGGTGCTTCCATAAAAAAAATCCATCCCATAGTGAGTAATAGGTATGGGACCTCTGTTACCAGGTTACATTCCCTTCCCTGAATATGAATTCCTGCCCACTTTTGGGTAGGTTTTCCTAACTCTATAAAATCAGGTTATTATTTTCCTCATGAAACAGACCGTAACTTGTACAGATTCAACACAGAGGGGACCAAATAAATGTGTAAACAAATCTTGCATCTGTGATTTGGAACCACTGATGGTCACCCTGCAGTAATGCTGAGATCTGTACTAAACCAACTACAGCAAATTTTGACAGCCCACTGGTTTTCATTAGGTACCTCAGCCCAGATGCACATCAGCACAAGGGGAGCTTGTCTGTAAAGCAGAGCACTCCATAACAACACCACACATCCCCTTCCGTGGGCTGCCATCATACCAGGCTGGCTTTGGCCCAACACTGTGAGCAAATGCACACTCCAGAACAGATTGGGTGCAGTCTCAGGAACACACCTTTCAGTTTGGCTTCATCCACGGGAATCTATTTGCATGCTTTGAGACTGTTCCACAATGCTAATCACAGCATGCTAAGTAGAGAATATACAGAAAGTAAAATGTAGATTCACTGGGAGCTCACTGCGTCCAAAAAGTTCTTTCACCAAGCTCAGGGTGGATTTGGGTGGTCAACATCAAATAACTTTCAATAAACATTTTAGGCCAACACAATAAACAAGCAAGTCTTGTCATTTGACTTTTATAGCCTGATTTTAATACCACCAACACAGGAGGATATCTGGAAAGTCTCTGCAGGTAAATATCTGCTCTTTACTACTTGAGGGTTTTCCTCTAACTTTTTGTGGTGCTTAGGAGAGACTGACCTTCAGATTAGTAAATAAACTATTCAGCATTGTCACTTGTATATAAAACAGGCTGTATTATAAACACTTGGTTATTAACTCCTGAAGTCCCTCTTGGGACTTTAGGTATTTCAGGTAAGACAATGTTTTTGTTTTTATTGATCTTTTTTCCCCACTTATGTCATCTTTGGCATCTCAAGGTTTGCAAAAGCCTTAAAACAGTAAGAAATATATGACAAGAAAACCCAAAATAACCACATCAAAAATCATCAGCATTTTCCTATTATTCAGTGTTTTATTTTCAGACGGATAGGAATCCATTAATTTTTCTTTTGATAACAAATGCTCTTTCTGAAAAGTAAAAATCTCCAAGTAATCATTTCCATTTAGCAGTTTTCCAATTATCAAACCACAAAAAAGAACATTTTGTTTTGAATGGACTGACTACAATTTAGACTGCTTCAGTGTACTGAAAAGAGACATAAAACACAGAGCATATCTTCATATAGCAGATAAACCAGAAATTCTTTCCAAATATTCTAGCCTACCTTGTAGATGGAAACCACATAATGCTGACCACAAGCTAAAAGTCTCACATACTCTATGAATATGCTGCTCTGCATACAGGTACATTATGGGCATACAGAACTCAAGACCCAGATAGCATCAGCTTATTCAGAGGCAAGATTTCTGGTCTGTGGGCAGCTATGCTATTTTTTGGTATTATTGCAGCATTAAACTTCATCTTTCTGTGACCATCTGTGAACTCCTCAGAGCTACGATTTGCAAATTTTTACTACCCTTGTCTTCCATGAGGTGTGTTTACTTTAAAACTTTATCTCCACGTTGTCCAACAGCCCATCTCTGACTGAATTGTGCCTGTTCGGGGAATCCCAACATGCTGAGGCAGCTTGGCCCACGTGGAAACGTGAGATAATCAAATTGTAATTCCCAGCAGGCATGTCATAACACCTCCGGCTGATACAGAGATGCAAGGTTTCAAAGCATGTATTTTTCTGGTATGACTTGTTTGGTTTTTTTGTTTTGTTTTTAAACAGATTAGACACTTTCTAACCAAGTCCTCCAGTATCTCAAGGTCTGCACGTATTGGTAGGTTTTGAGATGAAAACTTGTGCCAACAGTTGTAGGAAGGAACATTTTATTTTTGCTGTAGTCTTCTTGCATGGCAGCAAAACAATTTCTCCTATAAAACACAGTATGTGAAAGTGACGTACACACTTCTCCCACGGACCCACCAGCCCCAGCACGGCCCCGTCTCCGTGGCACGAGAGGCCTCGGGCCTCGTGGCCAGACCTACCAGCGCTTCCTTGCCCACGGTGAGCACGGACGTGTAGGCCTCCAGGTACACCCTGCGGCAGCGCCGCACCGCCTCCAGGCCCTTCACCGTGATGTCCTTGGCATCCCCCAGGCCCAGCCCCACCAGGTACAGCATGCTCAGGGAGGGCCCGAGCCGCCACCTGCCTCAGGGGGGGAAACGGAAGCGGGGTCAGCAGGGGCGCCCCACCGCTCGCCAAGCCGGCCCCAGATCCGGGGATAGCTTGGCTCCCAGCTGCTCGTTTGCCGGCTCCCAGCTGCTCGTTCCCCGGCTCCCCGTTTGCCGGCTCCCGGCCGCTCGTTTCCCGGCTCCTCTCGCCCGGCTCCCGGCTGCCCGCGGCGCCGGTGGGGCGCAGGGGCCGCCGGGAGTTGTAGTCCCGGGCCGCGGCCGGGTCATGGCAGCGGCGGGCAGGCTCGGTCCGGGCGGTGTGCCCGCGGTGCCGGTCGCCAGCGGCCACAGCATCCCGGTGCTGGGGCTCGGTAAGTGGCGGTGGGCCCGCCCAGAGCCCGCCTGCCTGCCAGAGGCGTTGTGAGAGGGCGGGGGTCACGCCGGGGCCCGGCCTGGCCGGCTCGGCAGGTTCCACGCTGCCCTTGGCCCGCAGCCGGACTCGCCTCAGGCAGCTCCTGACCGGCGCTCCTCCGAGAGCCCCTGTGCTGCCCGGTGAAGCCTCGTGCTCCTGCCAAACGCGACCAGCTGGGCCTGCTGGGGAGCCGTGCTTTTGTGCTGCGAGCACATCGCTCCCCTCCCACCTGACCCGGGGCGATGTGCGGTGGTTTGGTGGTTTGGGTGTGTTTTCTTACCAGGCTTGGGAGCAGACTTTTCTTTAGAGCAGACTCTCATGATAGAATTAACCTTACTGCACCTGTGGAACTGAGATCCCATGTAGGAACCTTAGCATCTGTGAGGCACAAGGGAATGGTGGTTGATGATGATGAATATTTGATGCAGCTTAGTATTTCTTACACAGTCGCTATGTAGTGAGCAAAATGGCTTATGTTGTTCAAAAATTACTATTTTTTTTTCTTTTGGTGTTTTTTGGTTGATTATTTTAACCTGCAACACTTACTGCCAATTTACTTTCCTTGGAGATATTTTTATAACATTAAAGGAAAAAGAATGTAAATAGTCTTTTTTAGAGAATGGACTTGGTTGTCATATGTTCATTGTTTCAGTATATGCTGAACTGTGCTTCAGACTGTCTACAGAACCACCTTTTTATTGGAGGTAGTAATACATTTCTTGGGTTATGGGAAGAATAAACTGACTAGAAAGTAGACATGCAGAAAGATTCCTTTGTGTTGTCCACCCAATAGCTGCTCCCTGTCCTTTTGCTGTATTGGAAAGTTCTGAGTAGTCTATTGTTACACCTGAACTCATACCGCAGTGAATGGGTAGTGGCATACAAGAAAATCAAGTTTGATTTTTTCTGGCCCAGTAACTTCTGGCAGGTATGGCTTTCCAGGAGCTTCTCTTGGCTTTCAAGGAACTTCTCTTGACTTACAGTGGTGGTGTTGTCATGAGCAGGATTTGATTCTTTTGATTTCACTTGTTTGTCTTGCTAGAGTAATGCTTTACATATTGCTTTGTACAGTCTGCAGATGTTTGAGGATTGTGTAATAGATAGGAACCAGTCAGGTCATTTTAGGAAATCCTTGATATATGCTGCAAAATGCTGAGAATTTAAGAAGGGAGAAAAAAAAGTTGAAGACTTGCCACAGTTGCATTTGTGGTCAGGCTATAAATACCACAATATGCAGGCTAACACAATAGGATCTTTATGGTAGCTGTTCTCACTTCTCTTTTCCACATTAATTGCTTATTTTCCTTTCAGTCTTACTGCATTAACAAAAGATTTACTTGGATATGAAGTAGAAGCAAACTTTCTTAAATGAAAATGCATTTTCTGCAAGGCCATTTTCTGCAGGATTTGTTTGTCATTTCTTATCCCTCTAAACATGCAGACCTAATTGTTATCTGGTGCCTCAAAGACAACTTTAATAGATACGGTTGTTGCCTCTATTGCTAGATAATCTTTCTAAAAGCTTCAGAGAGATGAATATGCATAAAGATGGTTTCAACTATGCAGTTGTGTCACCTGGAAGGCAGCTCAGATAGCTTTGCAAGTTATTTTCAAAGTGATGAAACCCCTTTTGTAGTATCTGAGAGCTGAATTAGGAGACAGGTAGTGTGTTTCTTGGCCAGAACATGTTACTCAAGAGAATGCAACAGCACACTGGAAAAGCATTCTGTCAATAATATCTCTTCTTCTTGTTCAAGTTTCATTTATCAAAAGGTATTTGTGATGGTGGTTTTTTGGGTTTGGTTTCCTTTTTTTTTAATGGGTTTCCATGCCACAGCTTATTTGTCATTTGTATACAAGTTCAGTAAGTTGGTCAAGGTTTGATGCAAAAGCGGAGATGGGGGGAAGGAGGTTAAGTCTTTCATTAGGTTACCATTCTCTTTCTGGGGCTCTGTGCTCTTGCATAAACTGTTCCTAATGAGAAGGATCCATTTCCATTAAAATCTCTAGTGGGCAAGACAAATTTTTACACCAGAGAAGGCCATGGAGTATGCAAAATTTATGTTTAGTCTGAAGGGCTACTTGGAATAACATGCCAAATTGTGTATATCCAAAATTTCGTATCTACTTAGATGCATATTCTTAGTGTCTTGTGTCTGGCAAAAAGACCAGTCTACTTGCAATGGTAAAGCAAGCTGACTTTCCTGAGACACCAAGCAATTATATTATAGGGTAGCTCACCTCTATGCTAGTAATATGTTGTATAACTAAAGTTTTAATTAACAGATAAAAATAATCTGCACCTTGTTTATCATATAGCTATGAAAACTGCTGGTAACTTTATGTTTCATATGGTTTAATGCTAACTGTTTTGTTAGCCAACATTATTCATGTGCAGAGGGTCAGGCATGTTTATGGTAAATTTTCATTACAAAGGCTGCTTTCTACTTGAGTAGGCTTAAGTCGAAAAGAAATTGACATTTTGGCCCTAATAATTGTCTCAAGTGTAAATCTATGCCCCAGACAGTACATTACCTCACAGTGGCTGTAGATTGCCTTAGAAAAAGGATACGTTCACTATCTTGCTAGTAAGATTGGTGGGTGGCAAACAACTGATATAAAATGTGGCACTGTTTAGAAGTTACAGATGTAGTTACACTTTTTTATAGGAGCTACATGTGTCTGAGAATCTGATGGTGAGACTTTGTACTATAGTAGAAAATTATATTCTTACAGTTTTCTAACTGCAGAATACTTGGTGCTTACCTAAAGCAGCATCCTCAAAAATGTATCACTTGTCAAAATGGCATATGCAGTATCATCCTTGTCAGGTTTTGGAATAAAAATGCAAAGTTTGAATTGTTCATGCTTACTTCTGTTAAGTAGGAAGCTCTCACTTGCACAGTTGTCACTTCCTTTTTTTTTGAGTCTGAGGAGTGAAAATGGCACTCTCTATAGCATTTTATTATAATTCAGTAGCACAAGGGCTTTTCTTCCTGTAACTGAAACATTACAACCTTTGTCAATGTCATGTGCTGAATTGTTGACATCTCTTCAGGATTGTTTTGGTACTTTCTATTGAAACTCTCTTCATCCCCTTTGTATGGTAGTTATATACCCATTAGAACAGGATTTTGTATGTGTGTGTTTTTCTTTGTTAATTTGTGTTTGTTGTTTTGTTTGGGCTTTTTTAGGGATGGTAATAATTAAATTCAGGTGGCTTGGTCAAGTAGCCAGGGATTTCTTGTAAAGATGTGCTGGTTTTGATACCAAAAATGCATAGAATCTTTTTGTGTAATGTTGCTTTCTATGTAATCTTTGGGGAAGCTGAAATTAATAACAACTTGATGATATAAAAAGTCTCAAATGATACCCTCCAATTAAAGAATAAAATTAATTGCAATTCCATTGTTTGGGAAGGGCCATCAGGATGCAATTACTAAACAAAATCAAGTATTTATATTAATTTTGCATTACTCAGGTTAAACACAGTATTTTATCAGTAGTTAAAATGTTCTTTACAGAAGGTCATTCAAGATTGCCCAGCATCATTATTATAGGTACTGTAGCTGGAAAAACAGTCAGGTACTGCTTAGAGCAGCTTTTGGTCAAACAGCCAAGGCCTGGAGGAAAGTAATACACACACAGTCCTTCCAGACTCAAAGGAAACCACTAAAGTATCTCTGTCCTCATTTCAGGGTGTTTCATAGATAATGTTCCTGATACTCTGCTGTACCTTTGTCTGAGTAAATAAATTCATAAAAGTAAGTTTTGACTGATTTTTACTTTGCTGATTGCTTTAAGACATTGCATCATTTGCATTGCAGCCACTCAGGACTTCTTGTATTGTTCCCAGCTCTTTTCACAACAAATAGACCTCCTGGCAAAAAGCACAGAATCAGATTGCTCCACTTTCATTACATCAGGTTGTGTTGGGTTTTTTTTCATCAAACTGCTACATAAATTTAATGCTGAATGGAAGTATTTTAACATTCCATTATGTATTACTAATCCAGTTCCTTCTTAATTATTAATCCCAGAGTTGCTTATTCTCACTTTTAAGCTTAGCTGTGGTCAAAAAAATACCCAGTGCTGCTGGACTGGAATAAAATGAGATTTTTCTTTTCAATTCAATGGCAGTAGAGTCAAGCCTTTATTTTTTTTTTCATTTTCTACTGTTACTGCCTTTTTTTTTTTAATTCATGCCTCCTGTTTCTTCATGGCTTTGGTTCTTAAGGAAATTTATGGAACAGTGGTCCTGGTACCAAGACCTATGGCACTCGCTGCTATTAATCTTATCCTGTAATAAGAATTGGCTGTTTATTTCTTCCCTTTGTTTTATGTCCTAACCATTTTTTTTTATTCTCTTGAGGCTCCGCTTTTCACCCATGGTTACCAAGTTGCCTTAATAGCCTCTTGTGATGAACAAAATGCCACCTTTATAAATCTTTCTGTCTCAATTCATACACTGTTTCAGTAGATCTGACCTTGAGAAGTTGTACTTGATCTTTGGGGGCCTCCAGATATTTAACTTCTCTCCTGTACAGAATGTGGCCATATCCCAGGCAGCTGGGTGTTTGTAGACAGTGGAACAAAGCAGTGTCCTCTCCCAGCCTCACTAAACCTGGTGAGCTCCTACCTTCTTTGCTTTCTTCCAGCTTCACCTCCTTCCAGCCTGGTGCTGTTTTACTCCTTAAAAAAGACTGAATGCTCTACAAGTGTTGTTCTAAGGGATACTAATAAATGCATCTGGAGCAAAATGCCAGGCCAACTTTTGCCTACATCAGAGTCTACACAGTACAGAAATATTCTCCTTTTTTATGAGGGAATTTGCTGCTTTGTCTCTGCTCTCTTGTACACCTACAAATCTATGAGGTCAGATTTTTATATGTTTGCTGGGGATTTTGCCTTATATTATGGCATATAAACTGTGATTTAATAGCAGAAAAATAGCTTCCT